CCTGCCTTGCTAGACCACATGTCTGCCATGACCGACTTCATGGTAGTTCTTAAACTTTGGGCTCCAGACCCCATTGGAGAGGTCCCCCCAACTCCCACCTCACCTCCCCGGGGAAATGCACACGTGCATGTTGCATATGATACTAATTTTTTTATCCCACTGGCCCACAGGTATGTATTGAGCATGTATTTTGTGCCAGGCACTGTCCAGGCTTGGCTGGGACAGAGCTGAGTAAAGCAGACAAGACCCCCACCTTCAGGGGACTGGTTTTCTAGTTGGGAAGGGGTGCACTGAAGATCAATCAATCGACCTATATAATATATATACATATATATTAGGTTGGGTGGTGGTTAGCGCGATGAAGGAAGAGAAGGCGGGATAGCGGGATGGAGAGTGAAAGGAGAGGATTTTATAGGGGTGGTAAGGGAAGGCCTCTCTGTGGAGGGACATCTGAACAGAATCCAGGTGAAATGAGGCAAGCGGAGACTATCTGGGAAAGGGCGTTCCAGACAGAGGAGACAGTGAGTTCAAAAGCCTGAATCTGGTGTGCCTGCAGAAGAAGCATGAGGCTGAGGGAGTAAGAGGTGAGATCAGAGGGGCAGAAGGGGTGGACAGAGAATTCAGACTCTTGCAGACCCCAGGAGAAGTGGAACTTTATTGTGCATGCTCTGACTGCCCCACCGTGGACTCCTCTCACACACACACACTGCTCACATAGAGAACGGGAGACCCCAGTTCGGGACCTCTGCTCACAGGTCCTTTTCCAAAAATGCAGCGCTGCCCACAACACAGACCCCCACGTTAAGCCAAAAAATAGAGACGCATGTCTCCCCCAGAGTTGGGGGATGCCGGCACAGCAGGTTGAGGCCTGCACAGGGGCGCCCTAGAGGGAGGCCTGGACAGAGGGAGAGCTGCAGCAGGCAGGAAACTGATGGCTCTAAGACGGGTGGCAAAGAAGAGTTTAATAGCTTAATAAAGCGAGCAACTCTGGCAGAGCATGGGCAGCAGTTATGGAAAGCACCCGGGGTGGTGTCCTCAGGGAATTACAGTGGGTGGGACCAGGAATTTAGACCTGGAAGGGAGGGCAGACGGCGCTGAGGTTGGTCTGCGGTGTGGACAGGAAGGGCTTGGAGACATTTAGGGCGAAGCATTCAGGAGGCTGCTGGTCACCCAGGTCTGGGGCTCAGAGGAGAGGGCTGGAGACAAACAATTAGTGGTCAAATGTTTGGGTTTTTGGTTTTTTAATGAATTAAGCCATGTGATTATCTCAGGGGAATGAAGTGCCAGGGTACCACGGAAGGAGTTGAAGGAGCAGTGTGCCCTGACCCGGCGCTTTCCCCTAGCCCTCCTGACCCCGGCTTTCTACCTGCAGCCTTCTCATGAGCTCCCGACCAGGTTTAGACCCAACTGCCAGCTCAGCCCAGACTGTTCTGGAGCCACAGCATCCTGGCTGCCTCCCCTGGCTGCCCAGGGGGAGGGAGACATCCGGGTGACAGTCAGGTCCCTGTTGGGGGTATAGGACCAGTTAGGACATAGTATGAGGTGCATGATGGATGTTTTGTTTTTTGTGTGTATGCAAACTTGGGACTTAGGGACCAGTCCACAGGTGGCTTGTGTCAGAGAATGTATGGGGGGGCATGTCATGGGAGGAACCCAGGACCCCTTCCTGCTCTGGGTCCCAGTTTGGGGGACACCAGTCACGGATTAGGGACCACCTTACTCCATTGTGATCTCATCTTAACTAATTACATCTCCAACGACCCTATTTTCAAATAAGATCAGATTCTGAAGCAGTGGGGGGTTAGGACTTCAATGTTACTTTTGTGTGTGGGGGTGGGGACAAAACTCAACCCATAGCACCCATTGAGCACCTAACTGACCCCATGCTCCTAACCAGGACCTGGGTCAGAGGATTGTGCATCACCTGCATGTCCTCCTTTTCTCTCCTCAGCCTGACAGTCACAGCGCTCTGTACAGCCTGCCTCTCAAACGTCTTTCATTTCCAGTCTTACCACTGCTTGGTTCAGTCTCCTCGCTGCCCCCTTGTGTCTGCTCCCAGATCTCTCCCTTGACTCTGGCCAATAGTCTGGCCCCCTCCCATACAGCCTCTACACAACAGCAAGTGGGGAATCTTTCTAAAGCACAAACTAGATTCTGTTCTTCCTTGCTTAGAACCCACGTAGGATTGCATTCGAGCTTCTTAGGCTTGCCCATTAGGCCCTGCATGGGTTGCCCCTCACTCCTGGACCCGGAGCCCTGACATGGTATGTGTGGGACGGCGTATATCATACATAAACCCAGCCCTGGTGAAAGTCAGCTTGTCACCCACTCTGCACCTGCACCCACTCAGACTAATGTGAGAAATGAGAGGAAAACTCATCTCACTTCAACTAATATCCAATAACCTCAAGTGACTGGTTCTATTTGCCTACATTTCCCTGGCCACTCACTCACTACTGCAAGCTTTCTCCTCTCTCTCCCCTAACCTCCAGCACAGCCCTCTCACCCTTGACCCTGATTCCTATTCTAATGACTGAGACAACAAAAGGAACCAGAAGAGAACATTCATATGTTCCTGCCACCACATCTCTGCCACCTGCTTGCCTCCCTGCCCTCCTCGTCCCACTGTTTACTGTGGCTGAATAGCCCATGCCCCTTAGACCACCCTCCACTTGTGCCCTGGGTCCCACCCACCATGCCTACTCAAGGTCATTGCTCCAGCAACTCTCTCCTCTCCTCTGAAGCATCCACCTCCCCTCTTCTGGATCATCCCTATTGGCGCACAATATACTGTTACATTTCCCATCTTAAATAAACCTCTCAGGATCCCATGCCCCCTTCCAGATACACCCATTGTGTGCTAGAAAGGATCATCTACACCTGCTTTCTCTAAACACTCTCTTGAACCCACCAATCATGCTAATGCCCCCACCACACCACCAAACTCGCTCATTTCAAGATTACTGATGACTTCCATATTGCTAGTTCCGGGAGGCTGTTCTCAGGTTCACTGGACTTGTCCTCGAGGCAGCATTTGGCGCTGTTGATCCTCTTGATTTGTGCACTTCACTTGGCCTCCAGGACAGTAGACAGCCCTGTTTCTCCTCTCAATTCGCCCAACTCCTCCTCCTTAGTCTCCTGCTGATCCCAGCCCTCCACATTGCAGTATGCCTGCCTTGCCCATGGACTTCTTTTCTGTCCACATTTGCTCCCTTGCTAACCTCTCCCAATCTTAGTGATCCATATGTCATGTTTACACTGATAACTCCTAAGTTTCTATTTCAAGACTGAACCCCTCCCCTAAAATCCAGACTCAAATATCAGACTGCCTACCTGATATTTGCACTTGGTTGACTGAAAAGTACCTCAAATTTGGGCAAACCTGAACTTCTAGATTCTCTTGCAGCCCTGCTCATCTTTGCATCTGATGCCCCCTTCCTTCCTGTTACTGAGGCCAAAGACACTGGATTCATGCTGGATTCCTCTCTTTCTCACTTCCTGTATGTGGTTCCACTTCATTTCACATCTGCGGCCACCATGGTGGGTGGAGTCACCACCTCTCTCCTGAACCACTGTAGTCCACACCACACCGGGCACCTAGCTTCCACCCTCACATCCCAGAGTCAGTTCCCTGGAGGAATTCTATTAAAACCAGAGTCAGATCATGTCCTTCCTCTGCTCAGGACCGTCCCACGGCTCTCACCTCGTGTACAGGACAGACCCTTTACAGTAACCCACAGGACTCTGCTCGATTTAACTCTGCACCCTCCTCTGGATCACAGCAGGCACAGTCCCGTCCCTGGGAGCACTTGATCCCTCACCTCCTTCTCATCTCTACTCAAATGTCAACTTCTCAGGGAAGCCTTACCTATTCACATTTTAAAATTACAGACATACAAACACCATACTCTCCAATCCCCTTTCCTACTTAGATTTTTTTCATAATATTTCTCACCTTCTCACTTATATATCTTATTTGTTTCTTCCAGCTAAAATGTGAGCTCCATGGGGGTATAGATTTTTATCTTTTGTATTCATAGCACCTAGAACCATGCAGGCACTAAAAAGTACTTGTTGAATAGATGAAGCACCGTTTGTTGAATGGCCTTGAGGACTACCGCCGGATGATAAACTAGAAATATCTTTAAATCGATTTGACTCCACCATCCTGCCTTCCAGCTCACCCAACCCATGTTGTAGATTCCTTCCTGCCGCCCGGCATTTGCTTAAAGTCATGCCTGAGCCAGGATTTACCTTCTTACTCGCTAAGAAGCTTCATTTATGATCTCTCTCCCCGCGCCACGACGTAAATGTGTGGACAAGCCCCCCGCCCACCCCAGGCAGGGTTGGAAGGTTGATGAGTTGCCATGGTTACTGCACTCGCCACGGGTGGACTGTCCCCAGGGTGCCCCGCCCCTACGGGTAATTGATGGTTAGCAGATCCCGCGCAGAGCCGTGTATGAAGGGATGGCACAACCCTATTTTCTTACGCACCACCCCCACCCACCCCCACCCCACCCACGCAGTTGTCATGGAAACGAAGCTCTGTCCTCCAGCGCCGCCTCCCTCCCCATTCTCGAAGAGAAAGAGACACATGCATAGATCAAGTGCTGGGTGGGGTGGAAGGCTGTCCGAAAGGCGGGGAGACCGCTGGGTCGCAGCGCTCTCTACATCACTTCTCCCACCTCCTCCAAGGACTGCTCAGGGACAGAGCCCCCGGTATCTTGGTTAGCGCGGAGGGAGAGGTACGCAGGCGTTCGACAGAGTTTTGCGCGTGCGCTGTGGTGGCATCAGGAGGCTATACGCCGCGCTAATGTTGTGCCTGCGCAGCTGCGGCCTGCTCTGGCGGCCGGTAGAAGGTAATTCTGCGCTTGCGCTGTGGGAGGGGCGTGAAACCCAAGTGGTAAGGGCTTTGGGGGCCGACTAGCGCTATACGCGCCTGCGCCTTGGCTCGCGGGGCGGCCGGGGGCGGGGCCCAGAGTGGGTAGAGAGAGGCGGGGGGGAGGAAAGAGGCCGCAGAAGCCCGAGCTTGACCGACGGGCAGGCGGGGTCTGCGGCGGCGCCGGTGAGTGACCTGCGGCCCGACTCGGTCCCCACCCTCCGCGACCCTCACTCTTCCTGGAGTCCCCCATAGCCTCCGTTATCCCCTCCTACTCCCAAACCCCTGTTATCCCCAGAGCTCCCCTTAATTCCTGGCAATCCTCAGAGCCCCCACAATCGCTGCAGACCCTAGTCGCTAATATTTTATAGTCCCAGCTCCTCCACTGTCCTAGGAGCCCCCCTACTCACTGTTATTCCTAGACATATTTTCTGAGGACCCCTTCTCATATGGTCTTACAGACATCCCATTGCCCCAGCACCCCTCAGAGCCCTTCAGATCCCCCCTTCTTGCTGCACCTCGCCTTCAATATCTCCTTATTCCCATCACTCCCAAGCTTCTTCGACCCCCGAGACACCCTCATTCATCTTCCATTTCGCATTCTCCTATGCCCCCATTCTCCTCTAACTCCTGCAGACACCCCCTCTTCTTTCGCTTTTCCTCATGCCCACCATCCCTCGAGACCCTCCCCCCATTTCCATTAACTCCACAGCTTGGCACTTTGCGCTGGGCGAGGCACAGAACTCGCGCTCAGCGGTGTCAGCTAGTATTAAGTACTCTGCTCCCTGCTGCCAGTGTTCCCTGTCCACCCTCCGACCCCACCCCTGGCCCCGGGGACTTAGGAGCCCGGTGTCTGGGCGGCCAGGGTGGGGCGGGCGGCGCGAGGACGCCTAGCCCCCGCCAGCGCCCTGCGCCCTGTGCCCGCAGCTCCGGCGCCCCCCATGCGCCTGGCGGCCCGCGGCCGGCGTCGGGGGGCGCCATGGCCTCGGCGGCGGCGGGCGAAGCGGAAGAGACCACCCGGCTGCGCAAGCCGCGCTTCTCGTTCGAGGAGAACCAGATTCTGATCCGCGAAGTGCGCGCCCACTACCCGCAGCTCTACGGCGCGCAGAGCCGTCGGGTGAGCGTAGCCGAGCGCCGGCGCGTGTGGGACGGCATCGCCGCCAAGATCAACGGGATCACCAGCTGGAAGCGCACTGGCCAGGAGGTGCAGAAGCGCTGGAACGACTTCAAGCGCCGCACCAAGGAAAAGCTGGCTCGCGTGCCGCACTCAACTCAGGGCGCGGGGCCTGCAGCAGAGGACGCCTTCTCTGCCGAGGAGGAGACAATTTTTGCCATCCTGGGGCCCGGTGTGGCGGGACCAGGAGCTGGTACAGGGGCCGAGCAGCCCTCCGCGGCTGCCTCCTCACAGCCACCCGCCCCAAGCACCTGCACCCAACGCTGTATGTTGTCAGAGGACCGCAGAGAAGACCGACGGGCAGGTGAGTTCCTTCACCATCACTTTAGCGAGAGCAGAGTCTGCTGCGTGCCCGACACTGTTCCAAGCCCCTTACGTGGCTTATCACATCCTCACCACAACTCTGCGAGGTGGATGCTGTTGTTATCCTCATTTCATGTCGGGGGAAGCTGAGGATCCGAAAAGTGAAATGCCTTGTCTCAAGTCTCCCAGCTTCAGAGTCAGGAAGGGAACGCAGACCTAGGAGGCCTGGTTCCAGTGTCCACACCCGGGATCATCAGCACAGGCAGGATCTCATTAAACAAGTGTAGGGTGGGGACTATGGAGGCAGACTGTCCAATGACAGCTTTGTCACCCAGCTGTCATTTTTGGGTTAAGTTACTGCAGGTCAGTTTCTGCATCTGTAAAGTAGGGATAAAAAAAGTCACCACCGTAAAGGCTTGCTGGAGGATTAAATGAGTTAATATGTATAAATTGCTTAGTTCAGTGCCTCCTGAACGTCCATTGTTAGCTTTTGATATATTACCGATGCTGTGAGGTACAAATTGTTTCACCATTTTTTAAATCAAAGACTCCAAGAGGTTTGGTAACTTTCCCAAGGTCAGGCCATGAGTCGAGGGGGTGTGTGGAGAGCTGAGTACAAAGACTTCCCACTTAGCCTTGACTCTGGATTATTATTTCTTCTACAGCTATTTCCTGAGCACCTGCCCAGTGCTGAGACACCCTTAGCCCTGCCCTCTTGGGGATTGCAGTCCAGTCGGGGAAACAGATCTGTGCCTAGACAGTGATGACTCTTGAGTGGGCAGGGCTGGGCTGTAGGAGTCCAGAGGGGGCACCTGACCTGGCCTGGGAGGTCAGGAAGGGCTTCCTGGAGGAGGAGACATCAGATCTGAGATACAGAGTGAGGATGAAGAAGAGCCGGGAAAGTGTTCCTGGTAGAAGGAACAGCATGTACAGTAGCCTTGAGGCAAGAAAGTTTAGAAACTGAGAGAAGTTTCCAAATTTGGGGAGGAGGAAGGGGCAGAGTGAAGAGACTGAAGAAAGGAAATGTTTTGAGATGGGATCAAAGACGTCGCAAAGGCAAGGCAATGCAGTGCCTTCTGGGCTGGGGTAAGGAGTCTGAATTCTATTCTAAATGCTATGGGGAGCCACTGAAGGTTTTGAGAAAGGAAGGGATATGGACATGATCAAACAAGGCAGTTCAGGATCCTGTGATTCAGAGAGGTTCATTCACCACCCCCAGGGTCACACAGGAAGTAAGTAGTAAGAGTTGGGCGTCAAATACAGGTTATGTTCTATTCACAGTGCATGCACTTAACCACTAGGCTAGATTGCCTGGCAAATAACAACAATTAATATTGACTGAGAGTTCATAGGTTTGCCAGAATTAGATCACATGTGGTTTATAAGCAAAGGTCAGCACTTTGGACTTTATATGTAGGCATTTGGGAGGCATGGAAGTGTGTTGAGCAGGAGAGACAAACACTTGGGACCCTTGTTCTCAGTATGAATCAAATCCATTGTTTCTGTCTATGAAATGGCCCCATTGAACCAGAGCAGAGATGGCACTCTTTTTCAAAACTTGTGCAACCCCTTCATTCATTCATTCATTCACTCATTCATTCATTCATTCAATAAATATTTATTGAGCACCTTTTCTGAGTCAGGCACTGGGTTAAATGTTGGGGATACTGGGGAGAAAAGGCAGTTTCCCATATGGAGGTGACATTCTAGTTACGGGAGACAGACCACAAACAACTAATCCCCAAATAGATCAGGAACCACGAGGCAGTAAGAAGAAAAAATAAAAAACTAAGAGGAAAAATAAAGCATGTTAAGAAGATAGTGAATGATGAAAGTCGGTGGGGAGGACTGCTATAGACAGGGTTAGTCAGGGAGGGCTTCTTGACAGAAGTGAAATTTGAGCAGAGACCTGGATAGAGTTAGTGAAGTGGATATCTGGGGGAAAAGCACTCCAGCTGGAAAAAACAACATGTGCAAAGGCCCTGAAGCAGGAATGTGCTTAAAGCATCCTTGCTTAGAATCTCACACAGAGATTACCTACAGTGTAAAATCATGAAAGAGGTACTGTTCTGATTGAAGGACTTGTACAGGGACAGCTGGAGGTATTCTTGTTGACATTGGAGCCAGACACACACACACACACACACACACACACACACACA